TTCACTTATTGGTGCTTGTAGAATTTGCATTCTTGGAGTGAATAGAGTTACATTTTCCATGAAACTGGATGCTTTACGAGTGTTTTTTCGATCAAGATTGTCGGTATAGTTTTTGAATTTCTGTGCTTTGGTCAAGGAATTTCGATGTCTTGGAGTTGAATCAACCTTATTAGTCGTGTTGTCTTCGTGTTTGTAGCTATACAACTAGTTTTGAGAAGTTTTGTGTTGCTGTGTGAACTTTATAAAGGTGCTAACAGAGCGCATCTGGTCGAATTTGGTTGCTAAGGGTTGTATGGTTTAGCGAATTTAGAGGAAGATAGGTTGGGAAATCAACTGTGTTGGATCAAAGTCGCCATGAAAATGTTATTTCGTTCACTCCATAAAAATCCTCATTGACAAAACGATTTTAGTCCTCATTTTAAACTTAATCATCCAAATCCAAGTGTAAAGAGTTTGTTTGTTAGTATTGAGTTGAGTCTGTTTGCATCTCTATTAAAGCATGATGTAGCCGTATACAGGATATACCGCATTTGTTCGTTTGCATCATGTAACCCAAACATGTGTCAGTTTTTCTTCAATCTAGTTCAAACCGCAGATGATCAAGTTTCAACAGTGTGATTACTAGCAAATAATTGACGTTACTGCATATAAATGTGATTTTGGAGTATGTTTTGAAGCGTCGAACAAGTCTCAACCTTGAATACAACCAAGATGCTTAGCTAAAAATGTTAACAGTAAGATTGAAACTGCGTTTGCATAGGGTTTTAGTTGCAGAGGTGTGGGGGAGACTGTTGACTTGGTTCACTTATGTAGTGAGCTGTAAAAAGAAGGTTTTTCTAGCCACGGGAAGAAACTCATGTAGAACAAGTACTGCATTCGCCTCTCATAGGAATGGGTTAGGACCTAACCTACAAACTTCGGCCTCCAACTCAACAAAATTCTTGGTCATTCAATAAATCCCGTACTTTGATTCGTCCAGTGAGTCGCTAACCAATCCAAACCAACATTCTGGCTCACCCGAATCGAACTAAACCAATTTTATTTGTTTGGTTACAGTTTGGGAAAATCATTACTGAGATGGTAGGCTTCGTTTCGTTTCTTGTTTGGGGTGATCACTAGGTTTGATTTGGTGGAGTGAGGCTATGGTTGATTTGATAGCTAAAAATGAGAAAATGATAAACTGAAGTTCTTGGTCTGCAAGAATTGATGTCAATTTGATAAACTGGAAGCTTCTTGTTATATGTTTCTCATATGGTTCCAATCTATCCTTATACTCAAAAACTTTCAACCTAGGCATGGTATTTAACTCGAATTTTTTCTCAACTGTCTATTCAGTAAGCAACCTTACTCAACTACTTTCATTTGCGAGATTTAAATTCAGAACCTACTTGAACAAAGTCGGGACTTGATGTCACGCACAAACTCCAAAAACCCTCTTCTCGAACAAATTTAGAAACTAGTTTCGTTTGATTTATCGTTGTAGAACGAAAATATATAAATTACTAGCCGATAAATTCATAAACAGAATACAAGAACATGGAAAAATTAGTACATTCATGAGTTCTTAAACTTACAGAATTAGCAACCCATACTACTTAAAACCCTAATTCTCACCAATCACATCCTCAATAAATCTCCCAACAGAAGCAAATGAAGACCCCCCATCCTTCACAGCTTTTCTAGCCATCTTTCCCATCTCTTCCACCTTCTTCCTCACCTCACTATCCTTCTCCATCACACCAACCACAGCCCTCTCAATCTCGTCCGCCCCCACCACGTCACCGCTGCCTGTCTTGTAATCCAGCCTCATCTCCAACGCCATCCCCAACTCCCTCACCATCCTAAAAGCATTGAGCTGCTGCTCTGCATACATGGGCCATGTCGCAATAGGGACGCCATGCCACAAGCTCTCCAAGATCGAGTTCCACCCGCAGTGTGACACGAACCCTCCGGTCGCACTGTGGGCCAGGACCTCCACCTGTGGGGCCCACCCACATATCAACCCTTTCTTCCCATTGGTCCTCTCCAAGAACCCATCTGGCAAAACTTCTTCAAGATTTGAGCAATCACTTGGGACTGTGCCTTTGGGTGACTGCATGCGCAGGGACCATAAAAACCTCTGCCCACTTTGTTCAAGCCCTAAAGCTATTTCCTTCACTTGCTCTGCCCTAAAGCTTCCCATGCTACCAAAACACAAAAACACAACAGATTTCTGAGGCTGGTCATCAAGCCATTTGATGATCTTGTCGCGCTGTGCCTGGTCTAGGTTGGAATGTGCCTGACCGTCATCCAGGTCGATCCCTGGCCCAACTGGGTACACCGGGGGAATTCGGGTGTCATTGGAAAACAATGTGATAGCATGTGTCTCTAACTCTACAAATGTGTTTGCTACAATGCCTCTAGTTTCTCTAAATCTTGAAGCCAACTTGATGTAAGCAGGGCGGCTACCATCTGTCAAAGCCATCGGCAAAACTCTAGGAGGAACCGGGTGGACAATACCTAGTTGTCGAAAATTTTCAAAGCGTTAGAATCCAACTCCAAGAAATCAAAAATTTTCAATTGGAATGAAGTCTAAAAATTTGCTGTTACAACGTGTCTTTAAACATTGAACACTTTTGTCTTGTTGGTGCTAAAGGGGTTAATTCAAAAGCACCTGTGATTGTCACAAACATACCTGGGATTAACCATTCGGGATCGGATTCTTCAACCGCAACCTGGTTTTTTTCATGAAGAATTGGAAGTTGGAGCATGAGAGCTAGATATCCTGCATTGCTTGGCATGAAAAGATAAGAAGGAAGATTGAGTTCCTTGGCCACATCAATCATGGACACACAGAAGAAATCAACCACCAATGCAGCAACACGAATCGAATCCAAACTATTAGCATTGAAGGAGACGAGGTTGGTGATGATTTTCTTGACATTGGGGACGTGACCCTCAATGTAAAGACAGATGAATTTTTCTGGTGACTGGTGCGTCTCTTGTGGAGGTTGATGATCTTGAGGTTCTTGGACATCAATGACTCGGATTCGGGGTTCTGAGGCTGCAATCGATTCTGTGTATGAATTTATAGTGGTCCGGAAGGGTGACTGGATGGCAAGAATGGTGATCAAAATTCTGTCATCGCGATCGATCAAACGCCTTGTGAACTGCAGTGCTGATACAAGGTGGCCTTCTCCTGGTGCTGGGATGAACACTAGTTCCACTTTCTTCATCTTTCTGACTTGTTCTTTCACTCTTTCTGGTTTATATCATAGTGCTTAATTTCGCATTATAACAATAATATACATAATCAAATAACATAAACAGTGTGAAAAGGAGACAAAGAGTACAGAAAAAGGATTGACCGCATTTGTTAAACTTAATATTATATGGCCCTCCCTCGCGTCATTGCTCACGTACTATTATTGTCATTTTTCTCACTGACGGACCTACCTAACGCCAAGAGTGGGCAAAAAAGGAAGATTGTCTACCCTCCTATTTGTTTAGATACCTTTTTTATTTTTTTTATTTGTGCAGTTACGGTTAAATCACGTCAATATTTTATATTCTTATTATTTTTTGTCTTATTATCATTATAAAAAAATTAATATAAAATATGAACGTGAATTAACCGTGACCACACAAAATAAAAGAAGATTAGAAGGGCATCTATACAGGGGCAAACAATCTGCCTCACACCGGAGAAATTATATTATACTGCTTAATTTGAATTACGCATTAATACAATAATATACATAATTAAAGGACAGAAATAAACAACAAGGATTGATTGCATGTGTTAATATTATATGGCCCTTCTGTACCAGAGATTTTCCAGTGTAATCACTACACAAGGTGGTACATTACGTGTTACTATACAAATGGTGAGATATGTGTGTTAAAAAATTAATCTCTCAAAAAATAAAATTTCTCACCACTTACATAAAAACACGTGGTGTACCATCCGTATTCCCGTCACAATGAAAATTTTCTACTCCCCTACGTCATTACTCACCTACTATTATTTTCATTTTTCTCACTGGCGGACCTACCTAAGGCCAAGAGTGGGCATATGCCCCCACACTGCATAAACTTTTGTTCAATGTTAATGTAATTAATGTATTAAACTAGTACGTGAATCAAAAATCAATATAGTCCCAGCCCCACACAATGCATGTAACTTATAAGCCCACTTGGAGGACAAATTGGTAACTAACTCATCATTGACGAGATTCGAGTTTGGTTGCACTAGGATTGTATGGTTTAGAGAATTTAGAGGAAGATAGGTCTGGATTAGTGAAATCAACTGTGTTGGATCAAAGTCACCAAAATGAAAATGTTATTTCGTTCACTCAGTAAAAATCCTCGTAAACAAAACGATATTAATCCTCATTTTAAACTTAATCATCCAAATGCAAAGAGTTTGTTAGTTTGTTAATATTGAGTTGAATCTGTTTGAATCTCTATTAAAGCATGATGAAACCGATATACAGGATATACCGAATTTGTTCATTTGCATCATGTAACCCAAACATGTGTCATTGTTTCTTCAATTTAGTTGAAACCGCAGAGGATTAAGCGTCGACACCGTGTTACTAGCAAATAATTGACATTACTGAGATGGTTGGTTTCATTTCGTTTCTTCTTCGAGGAGATTAATAGGTTTGATTTGGGGTAGTGAAGTTATGGTTAATTTGATAGCAAGAAATGAGTAAATGATAAACTGAAGTTCTTGGTCTGCAAGAAAAGATGTCAATTTGTAAAAATCTGGAAGCTTCTTGATCTTTTCTCATATGATTCTCATCTATCCTTGTATATGCATTTATATCATTGATTAATATGTGATAACCAAAATCTTTTAATATAGGCATAGTATTATTCAACTCCAATTTTTCTCATTTTTTTTTTTCCGAGATCTTATTCAACTACTTTATTGGCGAGATTCAACGTCGGAACTCAAATGTCACAAACTCCAAAGTCCCTCTTCCCTAACAAATTTACAAACTCGTTTCGTTTGCTTTATCATTGTAGAAGGAAAACATATAAATTACTTGCTGATAAATTCATAAACGGCATACGAGAACATGGAGATATTAGTACATTCAAGATTTCTTAAACTTACAAAATTAGCAACCCATACTACTTAAAACCCCAACTCTCACCAATCACATCCTCAATAAATCTCCCAGCAGAAGCAAATGAAGACCCTCCATCCTTCACAGCTTTTCTAGCCAACTTTCCCATCTCTTCCACCTTCTTCCTCACCTCACTATCCTTCTCCATCACACCAACCACAGCCCTCTCAATCTCGTCCGCCCCCACCACGTCAGCGCTGCCGGTCATGTAATCCAGCCTCATCTCCAACGCCATCCCCAACTCCCTCAACATCCTAAAAGCATTGAGCTGCTGCTCTGCACACATGGGCCACGTCGCAATAGGGACGCCATGCCACAAGCTCTCCAAGATCGAGTTCCACCCGCAGTGTGACAAGAACCCTCCGGTCGCACTGTGGGCCAGGATATCCACCTGTGGGGCCCACCCACATATCAACCCTCTCTTCCCATTGGTCCTCTCCAAGAATCCATCTGGCAAAACTTCTTCAAGATTTGAGCAATCACTTGGGACTGTGCCTTTGGGTGACGGCATGCGCAGGGACCATAAAAACCTTTGTCCGCTCTGTTCAAGCCCTAAAGCTATTTTCTTCACTTGCTCTGCCCTAAAGCTTCCCATGCTACCAAAACACAAAAACACAACAGATTTCTGAGGCTGGTCATCAAGCCATTTGATGATCTTGTCGCGCTGTGCTTGGTCTAGGCTGGAATGTGCCTGACCATCATCCAGGTCGATCACTGGCCCAACTGGGTACACTGGAGGGACTCGGTCGTCATTGGAAAACAATGTGATAGCATGTGTCTCTAACTCTACGAATGTGTTTGATATAATGCCTCTAGTCTCTCTAAATCTTGAAGCCAACTTGATGTAAGCGGAGCAGCTACCATCTGTCAAAGCCACTGGAAAAACTCTAGGAGGAACCGGGTGGACAATACCTAAGTGTCGAAAACTTTCAGTGTAAGAATCCAACTCCAAGAAATCGAAACTTTTCAACTGCAATGAAATCTAAAAATATGTTGTTACAACGCGTCTTTAAACATTGGACATGTTTGTCTTTTTGGGGGGAGATAGCATTGTACTCGTTTGATACAGTGAAATTTCTTCTGCAAAGCACTTTTACTCGTAAGCACCTATGCTAGAAATGATTTCATATGACACGTTGATTTTTGTTTATTATAAAGTCAATTGCTTCCTCAAAAGGGACTTGAAATGCTTTGTGAAGAAACCACTTGCATGTGCTTCTCTAGAAAGAGCTTTTATGACTCAGAAACACTTAAAAAAATTATGTTAAACGCATCCAAAAGAACTTGTGATTGTCACAAACATACCTGGGATTGACCATTCAGGATCGGATTCTTCAACAGCAATCTGGTTTTTTTCATGAAGAATTGGAAGGTGGAGCATGAAAGCTAGATATCCTGCATTGCTTGTCAGGAAAAGATAAGAAGGAATATTGAGTTCTTTGGCCACATCAATCATGGACACACAGAAGAAATCAACTACCAAAGCAGAAACACGAATCGAATCTGAACTATTAGAACTAGAGGAGACGAGGTTGGTGATGATTTTCTTGACACTGGGGACGTGACTCTCAATGTAAAGAGAGAAGAACTTTGCTCGTGACTTGTACATCTCTTGCGGAGGTCGATCTTGAGGTTGTGGGACATCAATGAATCGGATTCGGGGTTCTGAGGTTGCAATCGATTTTGTGTAGGAACTTAGAGTGGTTGGGAAGGATGACTGGATGGCAAGAATGGTGATCGAAATTCTGTCGTTGCGATCGATCAAACGCTTTGCGAATTGCAACGTTGGTACAAGGTGGCCTGCTCCTGGTGATGGGATGAACACGAGTTCCACTTTCTTCATCTTTCTCGGTTGTTCTTTCACTCTTTCTGGTTTCTACTTACTACTTTCTTTGCACATCAACCACACATAAATATAGTGATGTTCTTCTTCTATTAGATACAAATGCTTGATTTGAACTACGTATTAAACTGCAAAATGCGGAAAAAGTGTACGGCAAAAGGATTTGATTGCATATATTAAACTAATACATTATATGGCCCTCCCCTACATCATTGCTTAAGTACTCTGTCTATTTTGCCGCTGGGAGAATTTTTTCAATACCAGCAACACGGCTACACTCATTTTTATAATACAATTGGTTAGAACTTTAAAATAAGAAATTCGATTAGTTATATTATTACACTTAGTGCAACGTTTGTTTTTGACACACTAAAATACCTCTCCTAGCTATAAGGCAAGACTGGGTACATGCCCCCACACTCAAATAAAACTAAAAAAATGTTATTTTTATCATATCATATTTGTATTATTTTTAATAAAAATAAGGCTCACATGTATTAGTTGGTCCTACTACCATGAAAAATGTAATATAAATGTGGTAAGTATAACATTGCTTGTAAAACCAATATACTCAACCCACCACAATGAATATAAGCCCACCAGTTCACGTCCCAGTTTTTCTTGTAGTGATAGATGCGAAAAGAGTCAAAAGACCATGGCAGCAACCAACAAGAACAGAAAAACTAGCCACACAAAAAACACATAAAAGTTCAGTTTTCTGGCTAGATGGTACCTAACCACAATTATTTTGTAGGATATTGCATTACCGCCTACTGATCATTTGAAATTATCACGTAGGATATTGCAACTTTAGTGATTATAAAAAGAGTAATACTAGAGAGATTAAAATTTTAAATTAAATTTTATAAATACAATGATGTAGTTGTTGATGATTGAATTATTACTTAAGTATTGATTAATGTGTTTACTTTCTATTGTCACTTTCTATTGGTGACACGTCATTGCATTACCCTTATAAAAATTCATTAAAAGGGGAACACTTCTTTTGTGAACAGAGACATCTCTTTGTATCATTTCAAAAATAGAAACTTGGTGGATATGTAAAAGATATTCTTTCTTTTCCATCACTTTGACATACTAAAAAAAATTTGTGACATTTCAAAATTTTCAAACTTTTCAAATCGATTGTTTTCTATATATCGTAATGGGCGATTTTAACGATTATTGTAAAAAAAAAAATAATCACAATACGTTTTTCGAACGAAAAAATATCTTTTTTTTAAATAGTTTTGACTTTGAATTTTCTTGTTCTTGATTCTCATCTATATAATAAATTTTATAAACAAGTCTATTTTTATATTGTGTTTCTTCAAAGTGGAATTGATCTTTTGTTTTTTCTTTTCCATTCACTCGAATCTTATATTCACTAAACTCAAAATATTATGTGTATCCACAAGAAGAGATGTGTTCTTAGAGTCTTGAATACTAGAAGAAAAGCACCTATAACTAACAAGATTAAGTGAATAATCAAATAATGGAGACTCGGGTCCTAAAAGTACATAATAAATATCGCCAAAGTTCAATACTGTAGAGAAAATTAAGTGAAATACTTCAAGCACAAAGTATGGAAATGTTTCTAGAACTTCCCCACCTAAGAAGGTAAAATGAATCCATTGTTCATGCACATGCTTCTCTAGTACAAAATGAGTCACTTTAAATAGGTTCATTGGTTAAGTCTAAAGAATGAGGATTCTCTCTGGATTTTCTTCGTGAGGATCTTAGAGATCTTCAAATCGTGTCTATTCATCGTATAAATTATTTTAAATACTTTTATTTAAAATTAAATATGAATAGTACTTGATAAAAATTGACCACATAATATACGATGTACGAACACGATTTGAGGATCCAGAGAGAATCCTTATTCCATGAGGTCAATCCTCCTCAAAAAACTTAAGGAGCGTTCTCACAAGCTACAACCTCCTTCGAGCAATTAGAGCAATTCCAACGGGGGAGGTTACTCGAGGGACAAGCCAGCAAACAGGGCCAAATTGCTGGGGGGATAGGGTCTAGCGTATGGGAGCCCAAGGGACAGGCGAGGCCCGAGCAACATGCCCAGCAAGGATTGCCAGCCCGAGAGCCTGAGGGCCATGTGACGTGGGCTGACGTCAGGACGACGTCATCCATAATATAAAATTAATAAAAATATAAAAAAAATTAATAAAAAATTAAAAAAATGTAAAACTCTGGCTTCAAACTTAACAGCTCTCGCCGAAGTTCGTCGCCGAGACTGATGGCATATGGGATCCGAATCCACAATAAATGTAGAAAAAAATCCAAATCAGACCAAATATTCCATAACAGAGGCCATATTCAACGCAAAAATTTAAAGAAAAATTGAAAATATTAAAAAATTGATTTGGCCGCTTGGTTTGTGCTCCCCACCACCGTCTTCTCCGACCATTGGGTTTTGTTCTCCACCGCCGTCAAACCGACTCTCTGGCCGTAAATCTGGGTTTTGTTGACCACCGGCCGTCAAATGGGTGGGGTTAGGGTATGGTGGTGAGCTAGAGGTGGGTAGGGTAGGGAAGGATCAGGGGAAAGAAGAGTGGAATCGAAGAAGGAGGGGAATGTTGGATGTGCAGGGGATCGAAGAGGGTTAGGTGGGCGTAGAGGAGAGAAGGGAGGGGAGTGAGAGAGTGGGAAGGAAGACGAAAGATAAATGGTAGAAGTTTCGGGAAGACCAAAAAGAAAATATAAATTAATAATATAATATTAATTTAAAAAAAATATATTAATATTTTATTGCCAATTGCCAAGGTTATTCAGTGCAGGGGTGGAGATGCAAAAAACAATTGCTAAGGTAATTACTATTTATTAAGGGTAATTACTATTGATTAGATGGATTAAATAGTGAATAGCCTGGAAATAGCTCTCACGCTGGAGTTGCTCTTAAAAAACCACGAGCTTGAGTGACTATAGAAGAGATGGCAACTCTAAGCACCCACCTTATCTCTCTGCCACGTCACCTACCAAACCTTCCATCCCCAACCGCCACTAACGACCTTCATTTCTCAAGCGACCCACCTCTTTCCTCAATCGACCACTGCACCAGCTTCAAGCAGCTGAAGCAAGTCCACGTCCAAATGCTCTGTACAGGCCTTCTCTCCGACCCTTACTCCACCAGCAAGCTTATCACCACCTGTGCCCTCTTCTCCAGCTCCAGCCTCGCTATGCATGCCAAGTGTTCGATCAAATTCCTCAACCAAATCTCTTATCTTGGAATACCCTCATACTCGCTTATGCGTCGAGCACCGACCCGACTGAAAGCATCCTTGTACTTCTGGAAATGCTTTATTGCTGTGTGGAAAGTCCCAATAAGTTTACTTACCCGTTTGTGATCAAGGCGGCTTCAGAGCTCCGAGTTTTGAAGCTCAGAAGAGGGTTTCATGGCATGGTGATAAAGGCCTCGCTTGGTTCGGATGTTGATATTCTCAATTCTCTGGTTCATTTCTATGGGTCATGCGAGGATTTGGATTTCGCATGGTGGGTCTTCGTGAAGACTACTAAGAAAGATGTTGTGTCTTGGAATTCTATGATCACGGCTTTTGCGCAGAGGAACTGTCCAGAGGAAGCCTTGGAGTTGTTTAAGGAGATGGATGAGGAGAATGTGAAGCCGAATGATGGTGAGTGTGTTGTCAGCTTGCGCAAAGAAGGTGGATTTGGAGTTTGGGAGGTGGGTTTGTTCTTGTATTGAAAGGAATGAAAATGGAGAGAACTTGACTTTGAACAATGCTATGCTATGCTTGATATGTGTGTGAAATGTGGGAGCATTGAGGAAGCGAAAAGATTGTTTGATAGGATGTCGGAGAAGGATATTTTCTCGTGGACTACAATGCTTGATGGGTATGTTCAGTCAGGAAATTATGATGAGGCTTGGTGGGTTTTCGCTGCAATGCCTGGTCAAGACATTGCTGCATGGAATGTCCTCATTTCGTCTTATGAACAAAGTGACAAGCCAAAGGAGGCTTTGGCGATTTTCATGACTTGCAGAAAAGGAAGAGCCCGAAACCTGACGAAGTCACTCTAGTTAGTACTCTGGCAGCCTGTGCTCAATTGAGAGCAATTGTCTTGGTGGCTTGATACATGTTTACACAAAGAAGCAGGGTATGAAGATGAATTTACAAAATCCCGTTTTCTGTAAGCAATGTTATTCAACTACTTTCATCCGCGAGATTTGAACTTAAATCTCATCCGACAACGTGGGGGCTCAATGTCACAAACTCCAAAACCCTCTTTCCTAACAAATTTACAAAATCGTTTTGTTTGATTTATCATTGTAGAACTAAAACATATAAATTACAAGCTGATAAATTCATAATCAATGATAGGAGCATATTTATGCAACTGAGTTAGCTTGTTCTCATTCATTTATGTTGTTATTTCTTAGTTAATTATGTATTTTAAGTTATTTTCGTGTGTTTGTAGGTCCATAGGCCTTATAAAGCAATAAGGTACAATTTTGCTGCATTTTGGAGCAGTTTTGGGCTTGGAATGGATAGCACATGCATGGAGCAAGGTGGATGGACGAAATTGAAGAATAAAGAGGCTTGAAATGTGTTAAAAATAAAGAATAATTAATGACAAAGAGCTCAGCAACCAAAGAAGAAACATGAGTCAAGATTACCTTATTTTGATCTAATCTTTCCTAATCCTCAATGTCCCTAAGTTCCAACAACATTCCTTGTCTATTTCATTCACTCATTGCCGAGCACCACCCTTGTTCCCTCCATCATTCCAAATTTCTTGCATCAATCATCAATCCACCTTAACCCTTGACTCATTTCTACACCATTCCACCTCTCTTTCCTTTCTCTACCATGTGCACAATCATTCATGTTCCCTACTTGCATTCATTGTTGCAACACCACTCCATTTTACCCCTCATGCTTTGCATCATTACTTCACTTTCACCTTTGAATCATTTCAACACCACTCCATTTTACCCCTCATCCTTTGCATCATTACTTCACTTTCACCTTTGAATCATTTCAACACCACTTCACTTTCACTTTCACCTTTGAATCATTTCAACACCACTCCATTTTACCCATGTTTTGCATCATTACTTCACTTTCACTTTCACCTTTGCATCATTACTTCACTTTCACCTTTGAATCATTTCAACACCACTCTATGTCCCCCTCCATTGTCTTGCACTTCCTCTATAAAAGGAAGTGTGTGTGTAACATAAATTTAGTTCATATATTTTTTTAGATCATTCACTCCCATTTCAATACAACCTTCATCCAAACACATCCATTCATATTTACATCCATTCCTCCATACAAACAAACCTTCAAACATTTACCAACACCTTGTGCCGTAGTAAAGGAAGGAAAAGAAAATGCTTGGACGTGCGTGCTGTCAACTTGAATCGTTTGAGCGTTTAAGTGTTTTCTTTCTTTTGTTTTCAATGTTAAATTCATTTTCTGATTTTGTTGCAATTATGAGTGGCTAAACCCCCATTTAGTTAGGGGGAAGTTTGAAGCCATGAACATGCTTGAGATATGAATTGATTTCTTCCAATTGTGATTTGATAAGTTGTGATTGCAATTCAATTATCTATTTTATTCATAACTGATTCTTGTATGTTTATTAAGGATGCATACTTAATTTTCATGCATGAATTAGATGCTAGAATATAAATGAGTTTCACCTAATCGTTACAAGTTTATATTCATGAGTAGTAAAGGTTGTTTATCACAATCACGTTAATTGAATTCTTGGCAATTGTATCATGCATTCATAGTTATAATTGCCTCGTCAACACTTATGATTTTCATTGAACGTAATGATCTCTGATTGTATCTCTATTATGCATTCATATAGGGGACTTTTAGATAATGATTTAGGTTGTCGCATGCATTCATCCAATTCAATGAGTAAATGAAAATCTGATGGTTAATTTGTGCATCACGGTTAATCTGGGGTGTTCAGCATAATAGTTTATTAAAAAGCAATTGGAAATCGATTCATGTACAAGAGTGTCATGTGTGAAGAATGGACCTCTAACTAATTCATCCATCATTTTATTTCTCAAATTCATTTTAGAATCTGCCTAGTTTTATAACTTGCTTGTTTATTTCAAATTCGTCCAAAACTCAATTCCCCTTTACTTTAGTGTGTCTAATTAGTTAGAATTTGTTTTAGTTTGTGTTTTTAAGTGTTTTGAGTCTATAGAGTCTAGTTAAGTGTTTTTAAGTTTCTTTTTGTAAGTCAGTTTAGTTTAGATTAGCAATCCCTCCTAATCCCCGGTCCAGAATAATCCGTACTTATACATATACTACAATTGTCAAAATAGGGTTTAATGTGCGTGCTTAACTTTCATCGCATCAATCAACATACAAGAACAAGGAAAAATTAGTACATTCATGAGTTCTTAAACTTAAAAAATTAACAACCACTACTTAAAACCCTAATTCTCACCAATCACATCCTCAATAAATCTCCCAACAGAAGCAAATGAAGACCCTCCATCCTTCACAGCTTTTCTAGCCATCTTTCCCATCTCTTCCACCTTCTTCCTCACCTCACTATCCTTCTCCATCACACCAACCACAGCCCTCTCAATCTCGTCCGCCCCCACCACGTCAGCGCTGCCTGTCTTGTAATCCAGCCTCATCTCCAACGCCATCCCCAACTCCCTCACCATCCAGAAAGCATTGAGCTGCTGCTCTGCATACATGGGCCACGTCGCAATAGGGACGCCATGCCACAAGCTCTCCAAGATCGAGTTCCACCCGCAGTGCGACAAGAACCCTCCGGTTGCACTGTGGGTCAGGACCTCCACCTGTGGGGCCCACCCACATATCAACCCTTTCTTCCCATTGGTCCTCTCCAAGAACCCATCTGGCAAAACTTCTTCAAGATTTGAGCAATCACTTGGGACGGTGCCTTTGGGGGACGGCATGCGCAGGGACCATAAAAACCTCTGCCCACTTTGTTCAAGCCCTAAAGCTATTTCCTTCACTTGCTCTGCCCCAAAGCTTCCCATGCTACCAAAACACAAAAACACAACAGATTTCTGAGGCTGGTCATCAAGCCATTTGATGATCTTGTCGCGCTGTGCCTGGTCTAGGTTGGAATGTGCCTGACCGTCATCCAGGTCGATCACTGGCCCGACTGGGTACAGTGAAGGGACTCGGTCGTCATTGGAAAACAATGTGATAGCGTGTGTCTCTAACTCTACAAATGTGTTTACTATAATGCCTCTAGTCTCTCTAAATCTTGAAGCCAACTTGATGTAAGCGGAGCAGCTACCGTCTGTCAAGGCCACAGGCAAAACTCTAGGAGGAACCGGGTGGACAATACCTAAGTGTCGAAAATTTTCAGTGTAAGAATCAAACTCCAAGAAATCACAACTTTTCAACTGCAATGAAGTCTAAGGGGGCGCATCTTTAAACATTGGACATGTTGGTCTTTTTCGGTGGAGATAGCATTGTACTCGTTTGATACAGTGAAATTTCATTTTGCAGAAAGCACTTTTACTCTAAACATCTATGCTAGAAATGATTTCATATGACATGCTGATTTTTGTTTATTAAAAAGTCAATTGCTTCCTGAAAAATGACTTGAAATGCTTCGTGAAGAAACCACTTGCATGTGCTTCTCCAGAAAGAGTCTTTATGACTTAGAAACACTTGTAACTTTTCATGTTAAACGCATTAAAAAACACTTGTGATTGTCAGAAACATACCTGGGATTGACCAATCGGGATCGGATTCTTCAGCAATCTGGTTTTTTTCATGAAGAATTGGAAGGTTGAGCATGAAAGCTAGATATCCTGTATTGCTTGTCAGGAAAAGATAAGAAGGAATATTGAGTTCTTTGGCCACATCAATCATGGACACACAGAATAAATCAACTACCAAAGCAGCAACACGAATCGAATCTGAACTATTAGCACTAGAGGAGACGAGGTTGGTGATGATTTTCTTGACACTGGGGACGTGACTCTCAATGTAAAGAGAGAAGATCTTTGCTCGTGACTTGTACATCTCTTGCGGAGGTCGATATTGAGGTTGTGGGACATCAATGAATCGGATTCGGGGTTCTGAGGCTGCAATCGATTTTGTGTATGAACTTAGAGTGGTTGGGTAGAATGACTGGATGGCAAGAATGGTGATCGAAATTCTGTCGTTGCGATCGATCAAACGCTTTGCGAATTGCAGCGTTGGTACAAGGTGGCCTGCTCCTGGTGCTGGGATGAACACTAGTTCCACTTTCTTCATCTTTCTCGGTTGTTCTTTCACTCTTTCTGGTTTCTACTTTCTACTTTCTACTTCCTACTTTCTTTGCACATCAACCACACACATACATATAGTGATATTCTTCTATGGGATAAAAATGCTTAATTTGAACTACGTATTAAACTGCAAAATGCGAAAAAGAGTACGGCAAAAGGATGTATATATATAAAACTTAAATATTATATGGCTCTCCCATGAATCATTGCTTACGTACTCTCTATTTTGTCGCTGGGAGAAATTTTTCGATATCACAATATGTCTACACTAACTTCTATAATACAGTTGGTTAGAATTTAAAAAAAATTAATTAGTTATATTATTACATTTAGTGCAACGTTCGTTTTCGACACACTAAAAGACCTCTTCGAGCTAGCCAAGGCAAGACTGGGTACATGCCCCCACACTCAAATAAAACTACAAAACGTTATTTTTACCACATTTTTCATACTATATTTATATCAATTTTTAATAAAAATGAAACTCACATTTATTAGTTGGTCCTAGTGCCAAAAAAATTAATATAAATGTGGTAAGTACGGTGTTGCTTATAAAACCAATATACTCAGCCCACCACAGTTCACGTCCCGGTTTTTCTAGTAGTTATAGATGCGAAAAGAGTCAAAAGACTATGTCGGCAACCAACAAGAGTCAAAACACATAAAAGTTTAGGGCTTGGTATTCAACTTAAATTCCACTTTTTAAATTAAAAAATAATCTTAAAGTTTTAGACTTTAAAAACTTATTTGGTATAACTATTTTAAAAAACTGAACTTAAGACTAACTAAAAAATATCGTCTATTCTCTAAAAATATAAAAAGTGAGTTTTTAGAATTTTTAAACTTAAACTCACTCATTTCTTTTCTCTTCATCATCCCTTCACACTCCAAATCTATCTCTCTCTTTTCTTCTTTCTCTTTCCTTTTTTTTTCTTTTAACTTTTTCGTTTCTCCTCCAATTCTCTTCATTGTTTCGGTTCTTTCTCTCACTCATCTTCCTCTCTATCTCGTCCTATCTTCTCCCTTCTTTCTCTTTGTCTAGTTTAAGTCGTAAGATTTAAAAATTTTAAATTACAAACCAATCAAGTTTTTGAGTATTAAAGAAATTTATTTTCAAAAAATGTTCTTAAGAAATGTTTTTAAAAATGATAAAAAAAAATTAAATAGGACACCATGCCCTTAATTTTCTAGCTAGATGGTACCTAACCACCATTATCTTGTAGGATATTGCATTACCACCATCAATTGCATTTGACCGAATCAATTGATCATTTGAAATTATCATGTAGGATATTGCAACTTTAGTAATTATAAAAAGAGTAATACTAGAGATATTAAAATTTAAAATTAAATTTTGTAAATAGAATAATATAGTTGTTGATGATTAAATTATTACTTAAGTATTAATTAAAGTATTTATTTTTTTATTGATGACACGTCATTGCATTACCCTTATAAAAAATCATTAAAAGAGGAACACTTCTTTTGTGAACAGAGACATCAACCACACACATAAATATAGTGATGTTCTTCTATTGGATAAAAATGCTTAATTTGAATTACGTATTAAACTGCAAAATGCAAAAAAGAGTACGGCAAAAGGATGTATATATAAAACTTATATATTATATGGCCCTCCCCTACATCATTGCTTACGTACTCTGTCAATTCCTACATCATTGCTTACTTAGTCTGTCAATTATCTCACTGGAAGAAATGGAGGTGTCATTCCACTTTCTGCGTACTCTCTTGTTTTGTATGATCATAATTAAATTATATTAATATTTTATATTACTATTTATTTTTGTTTTATTATCTATATAAAAAAAATGTTGATGTGACTTAACCGTGACCACACAAACAGAAGAGCGCGAGATGATAATGGGAAGTGGGAGGGCAGAGAATCTGCTCTGGGAGAAATTTTTCGATGCCAGAAATATGTCTCAATACATTTTTTTTTTTAAACGAGTGATATTATCTACATTAAGATAGGGTGAATTTAGCCTCACAATGAGCTAGCAATAATGTGGTTTAAACTCATTTTTGACGAGAATCGAAACTAAGACATCTCACTTACAAGTGAAGATGAATACCACTTGACTGTAGTACTAAATGGCAACTCAGTACACTAATTGTTTTAGTATAATTGGTTGGAACTTTGAAAAAGCAAATTTCAACTAGTTATATTATTACACTTACCCCACTGTTTATTCTGAACACACTAAAAAATCTCTCTTAGCTAATGCAAGATTGGGCACATGCCCCCTCACTCAAATAAAACTACAAAAATGCTATTTTTACCATATTTTTCATACAATATTTATATCACTTTCTAATAGAGACGAGATACACGTGTATTGGTTAGTCATACTTCTATTAAAAAATACAATATAAATATAGTAAGTGTAGCGTTACTCATAAAACCAATGTGAATCAAGGGAAATGATATTTTCCACCAAGTTCACCAAGGCACACAATATGGGTCTTTGAAATTTGATCTAACGATTACAAATAAAGACCCACTTTAAAAATTATAATAACTTTAGCCGTTTGATCAAATTTCAAATATTCGAATTGTGTGTCTTGTTAGATTCGATGGAAAGAATCCTCTCCAAATCCTTTCCTGAGAATAAAAACCAATATAGTCCGAGCCCCATACAATGAATTTAAGCCCACTAGTTCACATCCCATTTTTTCTAGTAGTAATAGATGCGAAAAGATACGGCAACATACATCTTTCTTTGTATCATTTAAAAAAATAGGAAAACTAATAAAATTGGTTTTAAAACTTTGAGTTTTAACGATAAGGACAAAATAAAGGGGAAAGTGAATAGTATCATGATTGACTTTTTAGTGTAAAAATATGGTTTTTCATTAAAGTCAACAGTACCATGAATTTTTCGTTAAAATTCCCTTAAAAAATAGTAGTCAAACTTGGTGGATTTTTCAAACGAGAATTTTTTTTAATACTTTGACTTTGAATTTTCTTGTTCTTAATTCTCATTCAAATAATAAATTTCATAATCAGGTCTATTTTTATACCGTGTTTTATTAAAGTGGAATTGATTTTTTGGTTTTTCTTTTCCATTTACCCGGATCTTATGTTTGCTAAACTCAAAATATTAGGTGTAGCCACATTAATTAGAACATCTGTGTTCTTGGAGCCTTGAATACTAGAAGAAAAACACCTATAACTAACAAGATTAAGTGAATAATCGAATAATGGAGTCTTGGGTCTTAAAAGCACATAATAAATATCGCCAAAGTTCAAAACTAAAAAGAAAATTAAGTGAAATACTTCCGGCACAAAGTATGGAAATGTTTCTAAAACTTTCCCACCTAAACCTACTCCCTAATCTCGAGTAGTTAGGTGAGGAGGTAAAATGAATCCATTGTTCATGCATTGGCTTCTCTAGTACAATATGAGTAGCTTCAAACGGATTCATGTTCGGCCTGAAATACAATTAATTTGGCATGGGTTACATCTAAGTTAACAAGTCATGCATTCTTGCCTCAACAAGTGAAACCGATGGTTTTTTTAGTCCGAACCGGCTAAAGTTAATTTTAAATCGAAGAACGTTTTCACGATGCGGAACATAAAAACGTTTTCACAAGATCGAATCTCCTCAAAGAATTTTAAAAAGGGAACTTTAACGAAAAACTCCCGGTACTGTTCACTTTAACGAAAAATCACATTTTTACACTAAAAAGTAAATCCTAATACTATTCACTTTACCCTTTATTTTGTCCTTATCGTTAAAATTCAAAGCTTTCAAATCTTTTTCATTAGTTTTCCTTTTAAAAAACCTCAAGTGAAAACAGCTAGTGCGAGAGTGACCACAGAAGAGATGGCAACTCTAAGCACCCCCTTATATCTCTGCCACGTCACCCACAAACCCTACATCCCCAACCGCCACTAACGACCTTCGTTTCTCAAGCGACCCACCTCTTTCCTCAATCGACCACTGCACCAGCATCAAGCAGCTGAAGCAAGTCCACTCCCAAATGCTCCGTACAGGCCTTCTCTTCGACCCCTACTCCGCCAGCAAGCTTATCACCGTCTGTGCCCTCTCTTCCTTCTCCAGCCTCGACTATGCCCGCCAAGTGTTGGACCAAATTCCCCAACCAAATCTCTGTTAGAATAAACACAACACCAGGATCATGCAAAGCAAGTTACCGTGATCAAAACACAAAACCATAAACCATAAAGCAATGCACAGAGAGAAAACATATCTGCAGAAGAGTTCGAAGCTGCTGCCATGTCTGATTTCTGCAGCAAAGTCGTGGTGCATCTTCTCCTCTCTTCAGTGAACGAGACTCTCAACTAATAATAGGTCTTAGTTTTTTATTGAGTACACACTGCAAGAGCAGAGGCCACCATATATATACTATACAATCTTAGCCAAATTCTATAAGGATTCTCCTATTAAAATCCATATAGAATACCAATTCATCCCAAATAGCAGTCCAGTTACAACATGGATTTACAAATCCATTCCCAACAAGACTTCCTACTCAATCTCTAATCCTACAACCAAGTTTACCAATTCATACTCATGCTCATATTCTAACATTCTCCCACTTGAGCAAGTATGAACCGAGAAAACTAGTTCGATTACGACTATAATAGGGTGATCACTACGCCCCTTTGAGCTACATCATAATCAGTCTAAAGCCCTCAGATTGCTTATGTTAAATCTGCACTTATAACATTATGATCAAATTGACATCAGTGGACCTAAATATCCACTCCCACTATTCCTTAACTTAATTCGAAACAATTAAGTCCAACAGATAGTAAAATTATCAACTAGTAATTCATTCCAATATAAAGAATTACCAATATATGAATTCAACCAACTGCTCAAGTCAAATCACAAAGATTCTCAAGCATCAATCTGAATCCAAAACATATATATGTCCTTATAACTTGACAAGGATTTCCTATTACAATCCTTATAGAAAACAACTTATGTTTTCCAAGCCATATCAGTTCAAATATTTTTAACAGAACCCTTCACAAACAAGGATTTGTTCACAGCTTCTCATAAAGCTTTCTTATTCTAATTGGACTTAACCATTCACCGTAAAAAAACACCCAATCTCATGTTTATATTATTACATTTTCTCCCACTTTAACATGAGATCAATTTCAGACATGAACTTCTCCAATTTATAAGAAGTGACTGCAGAGCCTCACCTGAGAATCCATCGTTATGACCATCATTCTATTACACTCCAAAACATGGAAACAGAGAATCATAAACCACAACCAAAATGCAGTATTGATTCTAAGTTCACACATATCCAGACTGCAAATATGACTCATAACATAAACTGATATTAAACAGTCAATCACATAATATGCTCCCACTTTTCAAAAAGACCAAAACATAAATCGATCTTATAGGAAAGCAACATAACCTTGACTTAAAACGATTTACTAATCATAAGCTTAAAACAGCCAAACTGTTTCCAAAGCATCAAACAAAACTTCCTCTACAATAAGACCACCATCCAAAACTGCAAAACTTTAAAATTTTAAAGTAACGAGCCTTGGGAAAAGACTGTTATTGAAACATCATATCAGGAATTTAAAATTATACAAGATGTAAGCTTTATGTTTCATGTCTCTGATCTGATTTTCAAGAATTACATACCATTTATTAGATGAGTACCAATACTCAGTAGCGGAAACATATATATATCAGACCAATCAATTACAAAAATTGAATCTCTGAATGCAATAAACCTAGCTAACAATTATACTAATTGATAATTAAACTAGCTAAACATAAACTTAACTTTAGAGAAGAACAAAACTGCCACACCAGCTCTTCGAACTTCACAGTAGCAACACTTCTCAAACTTTATTTTCCAATTGTCCTTAATGCAGCAATTGCTCTTTGTAAAACAGAAAAACAAACTACTCCCACTGATCAAAAGACTCTTCACAGACATTAACTACCTCTTTGCCATTAGCTCTCAAATAATCCTTAAACAATTCACAATCCTTTCTTAGATGACCTCGAGTTTTGCAGAAAAAAAACACTTAAGCTTGGCAACATTTTTAACTTTTGGTTTAAGATTGTTAGACCCTTTAGAAATATCAAATATTTTAGTAGAAGTACCAGTCTTATCAGAAGGTTTGGAGTACTTGAAATTCTTACCTGAATTATTTCCAGCATTGTTGAATTTCTTCCCCTTTCCTACTTGCACAAAATTCACAGTCTCAACATCCTTGCCTCTTTCTAGCTTTTGCCGAGTCTCCTCTTGAACACATTGTGCGATGAGCTCATCTATATCCCAACTCTTGTCTTGTGTATTATAAGACACCTTCAGCTGAGAGTTGGTATATAAGCTAAGTTCAAAGTCTTGAGAGACATGGCGGATGCTGCAGAAGAAATCACAAATATGAACCAGTTAGGTTCCTGATTTCCTTTTGCAGTTTAGCACATCACAACTCTCATCAATAAATCATACATATAGACTTAACAACATATAGTTGATAAGCATACATAGAAAAATTGACTTATCAAAACTTAGCGAAAACCATGACAAGATATGCAACAACAGACAGTCAAGAGATGTCTCATGCATGATAACCATCATTCATGGTTTAACAGAAAACATAAAGGTGCATTAGTAATCTGCAGATTTCAAAATAATTGCGGATAACACATGATCGAACACCCAAGGTCTAAAATTTATGCAAAACAGTTTCAATTCAATTGAATCCATATAGATTTTGTTATCATAATCTTATCCTTTAAGATCTAATATAAACCCTGGACTCAATCTTGCAGAACAACCGTTAAGAAGGCAAGAATAAAACTTTGCAATTTATCAAACATACCTTGCACAGATCCAATTTTTTAAACAGTGCAGCGGAATAACCATTCAAATTGATCATATCAGTTGTAAGATTGTAACTCAGAAGCATGTATTGTTGGTTAATGTTCTTACTCGAAAAGACCCAATCGGAAAGAAAACCCCTTCCCTTGGATTTGCAGAAAATCCAACCGTAACATCCTTTGAAATTCAAAAGGTTATATTTTTCAAACATGTTTTTTCGTTATTCGCAAGGCATTATACTAGAACCTGTGTTCGATTCCCTAACGCGGCAATGAAGATATATTTTCCTCAATATTATTTATGGTTTTGGAACCTATTGGTTTTAATCACAGAACTTATAATTTATGAACCCAAGGCTCTGATACCATTTGTCACATCCCTGCCTGGGGCGGACCATTTCTCGGGCCCGCTCCACCACCGTAGCACGATATTATCCGCTTTGGGCCCCGACCACGCCCTCACGGTTTTGTTTTTGGGAACTCACGAGCAACTTCCCAGTGGGTCACCCATCCTGGGAGTGCTCTGACCTCCTTCTCGCTTAACTTCGGAGTTCCTACGAAACCCGAAGCCAGTGAGCTCCCAAAAGGCCTCGTGCTAGATAGGGATGAGAATATACATTTAAGGATCACTTCCTTGGCCGATGTGGGATGTCACAATCCACCCCCCTTAGGGGCCCGACGTCCTCATCGGCACACTTCCGGCCAGGGATTGGCTCTGATACCACATGTTAGAATAAACACAACACCAGGATCATGCAAAGCAAGTTACCGTGATCAAAACACAAAACCATAAACCATAAAGCAATGCACAGAGAGAAAACATATCTGCAGAAGAGTTCGAAGCTGCTGCCATGTCTGATTTCTGCAGCAAAGTCGTGGTGCACCTTCTCCTCTCTTCAGTGAACGAGACTCTCAACTAATAATAGGTCTTAGTCTTTTATTGAGTACACACTGCAAGAGCAGAGGCCACCATATATATACTATACAATCTTAGCCAAATTCTATAAGGATTCTCCTATTAAGATCCATATAGAATACCAATTCATCCCAAATAGCAGTCCAGTTACAACATGGATTTACAAATTCATTCCCAACAAGACTTCCTACTCAATCTCTAATCCTACAACCAAGTTTACCAATTCATACTCATGCTCATATTCTAACAATCTCTACTCCTGGAACACCCTCATTCACGCTTATGCGTCGAGCACCGACCCGACTGAAAGCATCCTTGTAATTTTGGAAATGCTTTATCGCTGTATGGAAAGTTCCAATTTTTTTACTTACCCGTTTATGATCAATGTGGCTTCAGAGCTCCGGATTTTTGAGCTCGGAAGAGGGTTTCATGGCATGGTGATAAAGGCCTCGCTTGGTTCGGACGTTTAAATTTTCAATTCGCTGGTTCATTTGTATGGATCGTGCGGGGATTTAGATTTGGCACGGCAGGTTTTCGTGAAGACTACTAAGAAAGATGTTGTGTCTTGGAATTCTATGATCACGGCTTTTGCGCAAGGGAATTGTCCAGAGGAGGCCTTGGAGTTGTTTACGGAGATGGAGGCGGAGAATGTGAAGCCGAATGATGTGATGATGGTGAGTGTGTTGTCAGCTTGCGCAAAGAAGGTGGATTTGGAGTTTGGGAGGTGGATTTGTTCGTGTATTGAAAGGAATGAAATTGGAGAGAACTTGACTTTGAACAATGCTATGCTATGCTTGATATGTATGTGATATGTGGGAGTATTGAGGAAGCGAAATGATTGTTTGATAGGATGCCGGAGAAGGATATTTTCTCGTGGACTACAATGCTTGATGGGTATGCTCAGTCAGGAAATTATGATGAGGCTTGGTGGGTTTTCGCTGCAATGCCTGGTCAAGACATTGCTGCATGGAATGTCCTCACTTCGTCTTATGAACAAAGTGACAAGCCAAAGGAGGCTTTGGCGATTTTCATGACTTGCAGAAAAGGAAGAGCCAGAAACCTGACGATGTCACTCTAGTTAGTACTCTGGCAGCCTGTGCTCAATTGAGAGCAATTGTCTTGGTGGGTTGATACATGTTTACACAAAGAAGCAGGGTATGAAGATGAATTGTCACCTCACAACCTCGCTTATCAACATGTATGCAAAGTGTGGGGATCTGGATAAGGCACTTGAGGTGTTTAAATCAGTGGAAAGAAGAGATGTGTTCGTATGGAGTGCTATGATTGCTGCTCTGGCAATGCATGGGAAAGGGAGGGATGCATTGGATTGTTTCTCAAGAATGCTAGAAACCAAGGTGAAGCCCAATTCCATGACACTCACCAACCATGCTGGATTGGTGGACGAAGGAAGAACGTTTCTCTTTCAAATGGAGCCAGTTTTCGGGGTTGTGCCTGGTGTAAAGCACTATGCTTGCATGGTCGATATTTTAGGTTGTTCTGGAAATCTGGAGGAAGCTATAGAGTTGATTGAGAAAATGCCAATAGCTCCTACTGCTTCTGTATGGGGGGCTGTTCTTCGGGCCTTTGGACTTCATGGGAATGTTCAGCTTGCTGAAAAGGCGTGTAGCCATATGCTTGAGTTGGAGCCGAAAACGTTAACAGCAAGATTGAAACTTCATTAGCATTGACTTTTAGTTGCAGGAGATGGTTGATTTGCTAGCAAGGATGGCCTGCAAGAAATGAATAAATGATAAACTGAAGCTCTTGGTCTGCAAGAAATGAAGTCAATTTGTAAAACCTCTGGAAGCTTCTTGATCTATATTTTTCATATGGTTCCCAACCATCCTTAATATGCATTATGTCATTGATTAATATGTGATAACCAAAATCCCGTTTTCTGTAAGCAATGTTATTCAACTACTTTCATCCGCGAGAGTTGAACTTAAATCTCATCCGACAACGTGGAGGCTCAATATCACAAACTCCAAAACCCTCTTTCCTAACAAATTTACAAAATCGTTTTGTTTGATTTATCATTGTAGAACTAAAACATATAAATTACAAGCTGATAAATTCATAATCAACATACAAGAACAAGGAAAAATTAGTACATTCATGAGTTCTTAAACTTAAAAAATTAACAACCCATACTACTTAAAACCCTAATTCTGACCAATCACATCCTCAATAAATCTCCCAACAGAAGCAAATGAAGACCCTCCATCCTTCACAGCTTTTCTAGCCATCTTTCCCATCTCTTCCACCTTCTTCCTCACCTCACTATCCTTCTCCATCACACCAACCACAGCCTTCTCAATCTCGTCCGCCCCCACCACATCAGCGCTGCCTGTCTTGTAATCCAGCCTCATCTCCAACGCCATCCCCAACTCCCTCACCATCCTAAAAGCATTGAGTTGCTGCTCTGCATACATGGGCCACGTCGCAATAGGGACGCCATGCCACAAGCTCTCCAATATCGAGTTCCACCCGCAGTGCGACAAGAACCCTCCGGTTGCACTGTGGGCCAGGATCTCCACCTGTGGGGCCCACCCACATATCAACCCTTTCTTCCCATTGGTCCTCTCCAAGAACCCATCTGGCAAAACTTCTTCAAGATTTGAGCAATCACTTGGGACTATGCCTTTGGGTGACGGCATGCGCAGGGACCATAAAAACCTCTGCCCACTTTGTTCAAGCCCTACAGCTATTTCCTTGACTTGCTCTGCCCCAAAGCTTCCCATGCTACCAAAACACAAAAACACAACAGATTTCTGAGGCTGGTCATCAAGCCATTTGATGATCTTGTCGCGCTGTGCCTGGTCTAGGTTGGAATGTTCCTGACCGTCATCCAGGTCGATCACTGGCCCGACTGGGTACACTGGAGGGACTCGGTCGTCATTGGAAAACAATGTGATAGCATGTGTCTCTAACTCTACAAATGTGTTTACTATAATGCCTCTAGTCTCTCTAAATCTTGAAGCCAACTTGATGTAAGCGGAGAGCCTACCATCTGTCAAAGCCGCAGGCAAAACTCTTGGAGGAACCGGGTGGACAATACCTAAGTGTCGAAAATTTTCAGTGCAAGAATCAAACTCCAAGAAATCACAACTTTTCAACTGCAATGAAGTCTAAGGGGGCGCATCTTTAAACATTGGACATGTTGGTCTTTTTTGGTGGAGATAGCATTGTACTCGTTTGATACAGTGAAATTTCATTTTGCAGAAAGCACTTTTACTCTAAACATCTATGCTAGAAATGATTTCATATGACATGCTGATTTTTGTTTATTAAAAAGTCAATTGCTTCCTGAAAAATGACTTGAAATGCTTCGTGAAGAAACCACTTGCATGTGCTTCTCCAGAAGTCTTTATGACTCAGAAACCCTTATGACTTTTCATGTTAAACGCATTAAAAAACACTTGTGATTGTCACAAACATACCTGGGATTGACCAATCGGGATCGGATTCTTCAACAGCAATCTGGTTTTTTTCATGAAGAATTGGAAGGTGGAGCATGAAAGCTAGATATCCTGCATTGCTTGTCAGGAAAAGATAAGAAGGAATATTGAGTTCTTTGGCCACATCAATCATGGACACACAGAATAAATCAACTACCAAAGCAGCAACACGAATCGAATCTGAACTATTAGCACTAGAGGAGACGAGGTTGGTGATGATTTTCTTGACACTGGGGACGTGACTCTCAATGTAAAGAGAGAAGATTTGTGCTCGTGACTTGTACATCTCTTGCGGAGGTCGATCTTGAGGTTGTGGGACATCAATGAATCGGATTCGGGGTTCTGAGGCTGCAATCGATTTTGTGTATGAACTTAGAGTAGTTGGGAAGTATGACTGGATGGCAAGAATGGTGATCGAAATTCTGTCGTTGCGATCGATCAAACGCTTAACGAATTGCAGCGTTGGTAGATGGTGGCCTGCTCCTGGTGATGGGATGAACACGAGTTCCACTTTCTTCATCTTTCTCGGTTGTTCTTTCACTCTTTCTGGTTTCTGCTTTCTACTTTCTTCGCACATCAACCACAGACATAAATATAGTCATGTTCTTCCATTGGATAAAAATGCTTAATTTGAACTACGTATTAAACGGGCAAGATTGTCTACCCTTCTTGTTTTCGTGTCCTCCTATACTCTTCTATTTATATGATCACAGTTAAACCATGTCAATATTTTATATTACTATTTATTTTTATCTTATTATCTTTATAATATAAATAAAATAATATAACATGTTGACATGACTTAATAACGAACGCAATAAAAAAGCACAAAAAAACACGGGGACAATGAGGCCAGACCCTTATTAAACTGCAAAATGCAAAAGCGTACGGCAAAAGGATGTATATATATGGACCAGGATCCTCGCCGGATCCATTCCTAGGGATCCTACAATCCTATTCGTTCATCGTATATCGTGCG